AAAACAAAACAAAACAAAACCTGTTAGACAGAAAGTTAACAAGGATATAGAACTTAACACAAAGATTAATCAACAGGATATAATCAGCATTTATAAAACATCATCAACAAAACACATATTCTTTTTTTTTTATTATTTAGAAAGAGAGAGAAACAGGAGAAGGAGAGAGAAACAGCTAATTCTCACACTGAGTGAGAGGATTCCAGAAAGATGGAACCCAGGAGAGGAAAGCAGCTTCCACACTGAGTGGAAGGGAATAGAGAGAGATAGAGCTTAGGAGGGGAAGACAGGCTTCCATGAAGGGAGTGTTCGTGGAAGGGAACTCCAGAGGGGAAATGAGAAAGAGAGGAAGATGGCTTCCACGAAGGGAGTGTTTGTGGAAGGGGATCCAAGCATGGAGTCCCTCTTTTTTTTTTTGAGACGGAGTCTCACTCTGTCCCCCAGGCTGGAGTGCAGTGGCGCTATCTCAGCTCACTGCAACTTCTGTTTCCTGGGTTCAAGCAATTATCCTGCCTCAGTCTCCTGAGTAGCTGGGATTATGGCACATGCCACGATGCCCAGCTAATTTTTGTATTTTTAGTAGAAACTGGGTTTCACCATGCTGGTCAGGCTGGTCTTGAACGCCTGACCTTGTGATCCGCCCTCCTTGGCCTCCCAAAGTGCTGGGATTACAGGTGTGAGCCATGGCGCCAAGCCAATACACATTTTTTTTAAGCACTCATGAAACATATATCAAGATCAACCATATCCTGGGTTGTAAAACAAACCTCAACAAATTAAAAATAATTGAATCATACAGAGTATATGACTAAAATGGACTCAAACTGAGAATTAATAACACAAAGGCAATCTCCAGAAAGATTTTCAAACACTTGAAAACTAAATAACGCATTTCTAAATAATCTATGAATCAAAGAGCAATCCTCAAGAGAAATAAGAAATACATTAACTTGAATGAAAATGAAAATAGAGGGCCGGGCGCGGTGGCTCAAGCCTGTAATCTCAGCACTTTGGGAGGCCGAGGCAGGTGGATCACGAGGTCAAGAGATCGAGACCATCCTGGTCAAC